GATTGATTTTTTTTTTCTTTCTAATTCATGTTGTACACAGTGGTTAGATTTATTCGAATCTTTCTATAGATGCTAGAATTGAAGTTTAATTGCCTTTTTTTTTTTTTTTTTTTTTTTCTATTTATGGATATTTTTAGTCCTGTAGATTGGGTAATGAATAGAGTAGCTAGAATATGCTGATATACGTACAGTATCGAATATTTGAATGTCAATAGATTTAGTTGAATTTTTTTTGCGGTGACTTGTGATCGCAGATTGTTGTCGGAAGACGCGGTACTCAAATGCTCACTAACGAAGCTGGTGAAGTGACGAGGTATTTGATTTTTACGAAAATATGGAATAGATAAAGGCTTAATTTGTCGAAGTATATTTATAGCCGTGGTTCTATTCCGATTTTAAGGAGTGCCCGCTTTATCTTTATATTGGAGCTGTTTCTTTTTTTTTTCTTTTTTTTTTTCCATTTTATGTGCGAAAATTTATAGCGTTGCAGTTTACAAGTAAATGTAGTGAATATAGACTTTAGTGTAGAAATTGGATTTGTGTCTAATTGGTTCTCTTTTTAGTCATTTGCAAGGGATGTTCACAAGGACGATTCGACTTTGGGAAGCTGGAATAAAGCCAGTGTAATATATTTTCTCGTATTGTTAGCTAGGTCGTATTTTTTGTGGTACTCATCTTGTTGTGTTGTGAAAATATTTGATCTATTTTTGTTTTGGTCATATTAGCTATGTTTTCGATGGGATGCCGCCCGATTTGAAGAAAAAAGAGCTTGCGAAAAGGTGTTTGGTACTTCCCGTTCGTGCTCGTAATTTTGAAATTATTATCCATCATTGAGCATAATTGGATGATTGCTAAACGCTAATCGAGACTTTCATACGGTGAAAACAGAGTCTCGAGGCGAGCTGATGCAACCAAGGACCTAAATGATGCTCTGAAGGTAGAATTTATTAATAGTGTCCAATTAACGCTTACATATACAGGGCAAATTACTGCCACCCCCTGAGGTATGCTCAAATTACGAAACCTCCCTCATGTTTGGGTAATTACAACCACCCCCTTCAACTATGTATTGTCTTACACATTCACCGGTGTCAAATTTACCTAATGAAGGAGGTGTTTTTTCGTAAGACAATACATAGTTGAAGGGGGGTGGTTGTAATTATCCAAACATGAACGGGGTTTTCGTAATTTGGGTTTACCTCAGGGGGGTGGCCGTAATTTACCCTACATATATATTTTCAACTGACATCAAATCTGCTCCTCAACTCCATTCTAACAGCATAAGGCTATTTTTGTCATTGCAGAACGGAAATAATGAGGATATTGAAAAATTTAGTAAAAGGACGGTGAAGGTGAGTCGTCTGTCGAATGCTTTTAGTCGAGATAATACTCGTGCTGCAATGAGTTCGACGCATTCAGTTCTCTGTTGTTACTTTCCTTTTTCGATTGTATAAGCTGTGAAGCTCGATGTATTGTTAGTAACCGTCGTTTTTTTGATTCAGGCTACACAAAAACATTACGAAGACTGCAAAAGGCTTCTTAGACTTATGGGAGTACCCGTCATTGAGGTGATGCGATACCGTAATTTTTTACCTTTTCATTCTTTCACATAGTTCATATCTATTTACTTCAATACCGTTTTCTTGCGGCCGAAAGAGTGATTTGCTCGTTAGTGATAATATTCTTCTTGATTATTACTCCCTTAGGCTCCTTGTGAAGCAGAGGCACAGTGCGCCGCACTTTGTCGAGCAGGCAAAGTAAGTATATTACTACTTCTCATCGAGCAATCCTCGGAAACTGTTATTTCAAACACCTATTGCCATATAAGTTTTTTTTTTTGTAGATATTGTTTATTTCATATAATTAAGGGTAAATTACGGTTACCCCATTGCGGTAAAGTCAAATTACGAAAACCCCGCCTCCTGCT